AATAATAACAACAATATTTCTATTTTTTTTAGTTAATTCCTTTAAATTATTTCAAGATACACATGCCAATCACCACCGGCTGAAAGCACATCCAATTTCTTTTGGAAACACAATTTTTTCCATTAAAATCTCATTGAAATTGTTAATAACCATTTAACAAGATCAGTAATATATTCTAATCTTTCTTTATATCTAATATCAGTACCCTATTTTATTTGACATATTTTACAATAATGACAACAATATTTCTATGATGTTTTTTTAATTCCTTTGAAAAATCATAAATTATTTCAAGATACACATGCCAATCACCACCAGCTGAAGCACATCCAATTTTTTTGGGAAACACAACTTTTTCAATTAAAATTCCATTGGGATCTGTTAATAACCATTTAACAAGATCATTCATGCACTCTTTGAACATAATCTCACGACCTTTCTTTGTATCTAAATATTTGCATGTATTGTAGTAGGTCTTATCAACTTTACAGTTCATATAATACTTATGTGGAGTTCCCATCGCATACTGTGCGAACATATTGGCAATCATTGGGTTGTTTTTTCCATTATTTATAAATTTTATACTCCCAAATTTATCACGAGTGGCTTCATTAGCTAGATTTGCATAAGATCCAGGTATTCTAAATAAATATGGATTACTAAGTGGTAAAACTTGACTTAAAGCATCAGTAAGACTTCCCTTCTTCAATTTAACAGCACAACAATTTACTTGTTGTACTAAAAGTATTTTATCACTGCCACTAAAATCTTTCGTAATATTACCTTTTATTATTGAAAGATATTTTTCTTCATTTTTTGTTTTCTCTGCTTCTTGACCTGTAATTTTAATAAAAAAATATAATATTATATTCCTAAAATTAACTAACTTATTATTAATCATTAAAATTTCTAAAATTATATTTTAAGTGATTCAAAAATATCATATTAAAAAAAAACTCACATTCAAAATCTTCCATTGCTATGAGCATTTCCTTATCAGTAAGATATTGTTCAGTCATCTTCATTCGTTTTGGAGGGTTGTGATCAAAGTCTTCTATTGAATTTATCATTTTTCTTTTATCAGAGTAGTAATGTCTAGAACACTTCTTTTCTGTAACAAAAATTTTTCATATAATTTCTATTTGTTAACAACAAATTAAACAAAAGATCATTTATATCACACACATGAATTTTTTAGTTATTATTATAATAAAATTTTACTTGAAATTAGTTTACCTAGATATGAAGTCTTTCAATATTGTATAATGTTCACCAAGAGTGTAGTTCGCCAAGATCGTAGTTCTAACACGGGTTACCCATTTCTGGCTCAAGGGAGAAAGGTTTCTAAAATTATATGATGTATGATGCTTCTTAAATACTCTTCTGGTCTTCAACTGGTTGCTTATTTTTATCTCACGAAATATTTTACCATCGTAGAATATAATTTTAAGAATAATTTTAAAACTATGATCCGACAAAAATATTATTTTATTACAGAAAAGATTCACATGATCGACAAAAAATATTTTATCACAGAAAAATTTTTACCTTAGTAAAATAATTTTAAAAGTATGATCAACCAAAAATTTAAAAAAAAAAAAAAGTATGTTTTTTTTAAAGATAATATCATAATTTTTCATTTTTTTTATATTTACATCACCAAAAGCACTACAATTTCCAATTTAAATTCCCAGTACATAAATAAAATTAAGTTTATGAAACGTATTTCATAATGTTAATCTTATAAAATATAGATTAGTAGAAATATTTAAACCATTTTGGGTATAGTTAATAACCAACCCTCCCTCTCCTGGATGTTAAAATAAAAATGTATTAAAAGAATATAAACTATTATTACTAGTTACTAGACTATAAAATATTATGGTAACAACATCAAAATTACTCGAAGAAATTTTTGCTCAAATTCCTTATCAAGACTTATTAAACTGTTGTAATCCAGTATGTAAGCAATGGAGAAATGTAAATGTTGATCAGCATTATATGCCACTTCATCAATTATATCACAGATATTGTAAAGAACCTTATTCAAAATTTAAAAGTCCCTTTGGTAATAATAGTAGTGCTATTGATATTTTACGACCATTTTTTCGAAAAAAAAACAAAGATGACTATATATCGCAATTTTTATTACAAATTATTGAATATAAAAATCAAATATATAAAACCTATAATTTTAAAACTGATTTAGTCAAATTGCACACTCATCCACGCTACAAACATGCTGCTGCATTTTTGGTATATCATCAATTGTTCTACAATAATAATGATTGGCATCTTCTTATAATATTTATTATAATACTATCTGAGCAAATAAGTGAAATCCTGTATTTATTATATTTATTATTAAAAATACCAAATTTTTATCCATTAATAGATATTATTGATTTTTTTTACGGCTTATCTTTGATGTTTTTGAATTGTTACTATAACCACATAAGTTTAGAAACTTACAAAGATGATTCACATTATAATATCATTAAGATTCATTCTACTCTTTTCATTTTGGAAAATCGAATAAATCCAATAATTAATGGTTGTTCGTTAATGACATGTGAACGAGCACGAGTGGTAAATCATCTCTATTATAATAACGATGACAGAATAATAATGGTTGAATTTCAAAGTAAAGAAATCATCTTTGATATATTTGAGATATTATTATTAATTTTTAATACTCATATTAATAAGAAGTTTTTATTATTTTATCTGAAGATAATTTAGATACATTGTTCAAAAATTCATTGTTACATTTGTTCAAAAATAATGTAACTATAATCAATGATTATAACTCATTAAAAAATTATGAAAAACAACACCATTTTTTAATAATTTTTTCTTCAATTCGTTCCTCAGAAACACTAGAAGAGGTAAAAAATCTAATTAATTTTCCCATAATTGTTTTTAAATGTATTAATTGGTGTTTTAGTTATAAAACACATTTATTTTATAGAAGAATAAGGAGGAGAAAAAAAATACCAATTTTTAGGTTGTGTAATTATCGAGAAAAAAATAAAAATTATGGTAAATTATTATGTATTAAAAATGAAACTGCTGATAATTTGGAAACTGAAGATTTTCCAAAATTTATTTTAGTCAGAGAATTGCATACAAACAAATATAAATCTCTAAAAAGTCTTATAAACTTAAATTTAGTAAATTTAGATTTAATGTTAAAATCAAGTAGTTAAAATACATTAACATGAAACTTTAATATTTTCCATTATCATCATCACAATATTCAAAACATTGCTATATCAATTTTATAACCATCTTCTCTTAGTGAACTAATTAAAAAATCAATATTAAAATCAAAATGTATCATTCTATTCAAAATACTATTACTGGAAATAATATTAATGGGATAGTAGGTAATATTTATATTACCCCTTTCTATAATTTCATCCTCTCCTTTTCTTACTCTTCCATTTTCAAAATCAAAAATATCTTTATTATTTAAACTAGCTATCATCTCAACAAAAATATATTTATTCTTATATTTCATTCTAACCAATAGCTCATAATAACCGTCTCCATCAATATCATTATTTTGATGCTGATAAATATGGTACAAACGATCAACTTTTTTTAAATCCACCTTGAATTTTGCCAATTCTTTGTAATTCCATAAAAAACTTTCCCAACAACTAAAATTACGTTTAAACATTGACTGACATTTGAGAGCATTGCCCACCATGTTATAAATTTCAGAAATTGTTGATACCTCTTTAACAAGAGACTTGAAAAAGATTTTTTTCTGTTTCTGAATAGAACCTGATGCTTCTACATGAGCTGTTTCACCAATTTCAATTCCCGGTACATAACCAACATCCGGTAAAAAATTCATAAAAGAGTATTCACCATAAGCACCATAAGCACTATAACTTCCAATTTCAATTCCCGGTACATAACCAACATCCGGAAAACAATTCATCAAAGAGTAATTTTTTTCAGTCCATTCATTATAACCCCTCATATTACGATTTCTTCTCTTTCTTCTTCTCCTCCTCCTACTACTACTACTACTACACTGTGTACTCTTCTGAATAGAACCTGATGCTTCTACATCAGCTGATCTTATTGTTTCTTTAATACAATTATCAGTATAATAATTTTCATAATCTCTCTTTTCTGTACCATAAGCACCATAAGCACAATTTTTTTCAGTCCATTCATTATATCTGTCTAAAGGCTGCTGTAGTTTAATTTCCTTCTGTGTACTCGAAGGTGATGGTAATTGTAGTTCTCTCTGGTCATCAAAAAGCTCCATGGTACAACAATAACCTTTTTCAAGACATAATTGGTTTTATTGTACATTGTATTGTTTTTCTACAAATTGGACATTTTTCCAATAACTGCAGAACATGAAGAACATGAAACCATGTGTTTACATGGTAAAAATACTATCTCTCTCTCTGAATCCATACAAATTTTACAAATATTTTCTTCATCTTCTGTTACAAGTTCTTGATCTGAAAAATAAAAATACTGAATTAATAATAAATTTAAATTTAACAAATAAATTAAAACAATATAATAAGATTATAACATCAACAAAATTAAAGTAGTTAAAATAAAAATATAAATACAAGATTTTGGTAGTTCTTCATCTATATCAATATGCTGATGATTAGGAGGCATAGTAGTAGTAGTAGTAATCTCATCAGTTTGTAGTTCTTCATGTATATCAATATGCTGATTAGCAGTAGTGGTAGTAGTAGTAGTACTCTCGTCAGTTTGTATTTCTTCATCTATATCAACAATAAGTTGATTAGCAGTAGTAGTAGTAATAGTTTGTAGTAGTTCATCATCAGTTTGTAGTTCTTCATCTATATCAATAAGCTCATCATTGTTAGTTTGTAGTAATTCTTCTTCTGTAATAATTAAAAACTAATAATTAATGATGCACTAAAAACTGAAGAGAATGAAATAATAGCACAAACCTAAGAATAATTCAATAATAGTATGTATCTTTGATATTCTGGTGTATTAATAATTGCACTAAAAACTGTGTAAGAGAATGAAATAATAGCACAAACCTAAGGGGAATTCAATAATAGATGTATCTTCGACATTATGGTGTAAATTTCTATTTTCATGTTTTAACTCTTTTTCCATGTACGTTAAAGTTGCTTGAATACAATGTTGAAGATTAAAGAAAGGCTGTCCAGTCTGCTCAAGCTTTTGTTGAAGAATAGCTCTCACTTTATCTTGTGGAAATCCCATGGAAATAACTTCACATATAATATCCAACTCCATTAGAGTATTTAAATCAATTTCACTAATAACATTTTTAACTGCTGATACAGACAAATCATTACTAGGAGCTACAGGAGGTTTTCTTTCTTGTTGAGCCTGTAAAAAAATAAAATAAAAAATAATGGATATTCTCTTTTTTTTCAGTATTAGTATAATCTATAGTTTAGTCAACAAAAATTTCAATTATACAAAATACACTTTTCTACCTTATCAATGAAATCTTGTCCTTTTGTCAAAAGCAAGAAGTTACACTCTGGATACCAGCGTGCATGTTCAATCCAGGGCAGACCATTAGATTTCCAATTACGTATTCCATTTCCACAATGGAAACATCGCACATGATCACTTAGATCTGAATTAAAATCTAATGTGAAGCAATAATAGACAGAGATACTCTTAGTAATTACAGTATAACATGTTTTAACATTTTTTCAAAGTTATTAAAACCTTATGTCCATAATAAAATATCATTATAACTTACCACAGTAAAAGAATCCTGCTTCTGCCAATTCTTCAGGTTTTTGTTTAACACCTTCGGGGCCCTTCAGCAAAACTTTTTATTCTATTCTCATATGTTAAATAGTCTGTTTGCTTAGGACCACTATGTTGAGGTAAACACAATGTATGCTTTAGAGATCCATCTTAAATTAATAAAACATACATTAAAAATATACATTAAGAAAATATAATTATATGATTTTTTTTCTATTATTTTCAATAAATAGATAAATAATAATAATACTTACTAGAATGTGTACCACAGACATCTATTTCCATCATCTTTCTATTTTGCAATTTAGGAACAGATGATAGGGAATCAAATATTTCATCATATTTAATTGGAATATTTCCAACTGGCATTCCCCTTATAAATAGACAATTTGGAAAATGTTTTTCATGCTCACTTCTAGGTGTGTCACCTTCTTCCCACACTCCTACAATACCTTGACAGAAAACACAAGCACAATGATCATCTTTTCTAAGATAGTAAAATCCATCACGTGCTAAATCACTTGGGTTTAACCATTTTATAGGCCAGTCTATAAAAGTTTCTAAATGCTCTTTTTCAAATTGCAAACTATCATAGGATGAAAATTTCTTTGATCCATTACTCATTTTGTATACTGTTTAAATCAGTAATAATCTCTGATGAATATTTATAAAACTGTTGGATCTTTTACCACAGATAAGAGGATGTTAACCGTATAGTGTCGTGGGTGTGTGTGTTTTTTCCCACTCCACACTAATATATATATGTAGTAATGCCAAGAAGTTTTCTTACATGTTCTGTCATTATAATTTTAAATGTAAAATCAATGAAAAAAGAAATAAATGGAAATAATTTTTAATAACAAAATATACAGAAACACAAACTAATATATAAAATGTTTGAGACAAACTTTTTTATTTCATACAGCCAGTTTTGTTATTAAAAAAATTATAAAAAATAATTCATATATTCTAGAAATTCAAATACCATAAAACTCATAGTTCATTTAGATTAAAGTATTACTATCATATAATAATCTTTCTTTCACACACAAAAAATTTTACCAACATAGAATTCACTCATCTGACAGTAGTTTAAAGTTCACAGGATGTTATATCCTTTACAGTACAGGATGTAACATTCTGTTATCCATTTTCTGAGAGAATTAATTATTTCATTTCTGAAATTTTCTTACCTCATTTAAAATACATCAAAGAACTTACACTTGAAGTGGAAGCATGTAATATTAACAGGGTGAAATGTAATAAACATTTCTCCTCTTCCATATTCAAAACATGTATTCAAATTTTACATTTAAATATATCCTGATGTTTAAGGGCATCATTACCCACCAAGTAGTAAATGTCAGAAATTTATGATACTTTTTTTATAATAGACTTGAAGCATTTTTTGTTTTTGCATAGTCCAATAAGCTTCTATATTATCTGTTTGTATTTTTCAATACCATTACCAAAATCTTCCAATAAAATTTAAAACATTTTTAACGTAACACACTTTATTTACCAAAATCTTCCAATAAATTTTAAAACATTTTTAATGTAACAGACTTTATTCTCAATAAAAAAAAAAAAAAAAATAGTTCATTAATATTATTGTACAGATTGAGATGACTAACAGAATGTAGAATTAGGGAGTGTTAGCTGGTTATTAAAAATTTTATATTTATAAAAATTTTTGCTTTTTTATAGTTTACCATTACAAAATATTACAAATATTTTATTATTATAGAATATTTTTTATTTATCATAAAATATTTTACCACTATACACAAAAATTTTAAATTTTTACCATAGAAATTTCTTTACTAAATGAAGAAATCAACAATGACATGATGTTGTTATTTCTATATCTTCTTTATTATTCCTTAAAAGAAATCGTTCAGAATGTTTTATTTTAAAAATTTTATTCAAAGTTTTTGAATTTTTTTAAAACAAAAAAATTTTGATTTTACTGTAAAATTTTTTATTTAA